CCTGAGGCGCGGGCGCCGGGCACTCAAGGGGCCATGGATGGGCTCGGCCGCCGCCTCCGAGCCAGCCTGAGACTGAAGCGCGGCCGTGGGGGTTAGTGCTGGGGCAGCGCGGGAGCTTGAGGGGGCTAAGACTGGAGGCTGACAGGGGTGCGGGGCCGGGAGGAGCGCGGCGCGGAGGGTGGGAATCGGGAACAGTTCGAGAGGGATTCAGGGGGGTCGGAGAGAGGGTGCAGGTAGAGAAAAATGATCAGGTGGGGGCGGGGCGGGGCCAGAGGTCAGACGCTGGCGAGTCTGCAGGGGTAAGGGGAAGACTGACTATCCGAGGAAATCGTTGTGGGGCCCCGGGGCCACGTGTCCTGTCAACCAGGAAGCTTGTGGTGCAACCGCAGTGCGAAACTCTGGGCTAAGGCGCCCTCCACGGGAGAACCGGCCCGCCCCAACTCGCCAACCCAGAACCCTGATGCGCCTTTTCCCTGTTGTAGAGAAAGAGATGAAACCCTCCCCAGCAATTAACTGTTGTTTTTGTGCCGTCGAGTCGATTCGGACTCGTTGAGACCCTGTATAGGGTTTCGTGAGCAGCTTGTGGGTTTGAACTGCAGTTAGCAGTTCCTACAGCACAAAAACCGGCCTCCCGGAGGTTGCCACCTGCACCTAGGGGTGTGGAGGACAGAGTGTGGCCCCGGGATGACTTGCAATAGAGCCGAATTCAGCTACTTCCGTAGAGTGTGTGATCTCATCAGAGAAATGGGAGTAATCCCTCCTATCCAGTGTTATGTGGATTTCATTAGAAGTCGATGTTAATTTCTTTTCTTCTTAGTAAGAGAACTGGACTTTGGCAGGATGGCAATTAGGAATTCATCCATCCATTCATTCATCCAACGAACATTTATTGCTGTTTACCACGAATCAGTCATATGGCTGAGTGGGCATTGTTGATGTTAGGTGCCATCCAGTTGGTACCGACTCATAGCGACGTTATGCACAGCAGAAGGAAACACTGCCGGATCCTGGGCCAACCTCACTATTGTTGCTACACTTGAGAAATTTTGTCAGAGCTCTTACCTTTTGGGGAGAAAAGAACAGATTAAAAAGTGAGCAGGAGTTATTTGCAAATTGCCTACCCCTCCCAACAATGGCTAGTCAAGAGGATGAGTGAGACCTTTCCTAACACCAGATTTGGGGAGGGGGTGTGAGGAGTTAGTGCTCTATGCTTTGAATTGCAGTGAATCTTTTCTCCCTAGCCCCTGCTGTTCTCCCTAAAAACAAATTTCTGGTGCCTGGTCATTCCACCTGCACAAGGGGGAGAGGTCAGACACCTGGAGCTCCTGGGATGACTGTGAGTGACTGGAGTAGAATGCAGGGTGGAGTAGTGATCTCTCTTCTCGGGAACTCACTGGTCATGTCTTTCTCGGCCTTTCCTAGTGGCCAAGAAAGATGTGAATAGATGGGGTCTGTTCCCACAGTCCAGAAGAAGCATTCCAGTTGTTCTCACCCATCCCTGGCCCAACACAGAGCTGATGGTGGTGCCTGTTTGGAGCTTCCTGGAAGTGGAAGAACTGTAAGATGAGCACCCATATTACCTGCCCTGGGGTCTGGCACCTGTCAGATCAGGACACTCTGCCCTCTTCACCACATTGTCTATAATAGCCTCCACCTTCCTGGGGATCTTACACCTCCTGTTTTGCCTTTTGCCCTCGGAACAGTTGTGTAGTGTATTAGTTTTTGTGTGTATTACCTTCTTGGTGAGGGGTTGGGGCAGTGGTGGTCACAGGCTGAGAGCATAGCCAAGCTGGGAAAGGAAAGGCCAGCTTTCTGGATCAAGGTCCAAGATGGTCTCCTCCCCTATTCCAGACAGTTCTGGGACTTTTGAAGTGGCTGTGGGAGGGGCTCACTAGTGGAGGAACAAGTGTAACCAGACTCCTCACTTACCTAAAAAAGGGTGGCTCCTGCCTCAATTAAAATCTCAAGATAATAATTCCTTTCTAGGGCAAAGGGGATTAAAAGAGATACTTTATATGAAACATGAGTTTGATGGTTATTAATTTTCTTGTATGCGTCCCTCTCCTATCATACCATGCTATGAAAGTAGGGGGAGAACCAATTATTTTTTCTGGATTTCTTGGCTTCAGTCCTCAAGTCTAGTTACTTCTTCTATCTAGGACTTAAGAGTTTTGTTGTTCTCTTGACTCGCCTGATAAAGCAGGAAGAAACGGGCTGAAAATGAAGCATAAAGATTGATGGAAAGAAGTAGTTTCTTGAGCTTCTGAAATGACCAGTGAGAAGATTGTGGTTCTCAAAGATGGTTGCAAACAGAAGCGATCCCACCTCCGTGGGATGTTTAATATGTGATAAATCCAGAAGTCAGGGGCATGGACATGGGCCACTCACAATCTCCACCCTCACCAGGCCCTTAATTACTGCATGCCTCAGTTTCCCCATTTATATCAGGAAAATGCTTGTCCTCAGGCTGTGAGGATTATGCGATGAATCTGTGCAGCTTGGGAGTAAGGCATGGTGATGACGGTGGACTGTTTTAAGTATTCTGGCTTGCCTGTCTCTTCCATTACAGCTTTTATACCATCATTACTTACTGTGATTGGGCCTTCCTTCCAAGAATCATGGGTGGGACACTGAGTCTTAGCTATTGTCAGTCTCAAAGAAACCAAGTCTGGAGCTCTCAGAACAAAGTGGCCATCTCCCCTACCTCAGGCCCTCCTTCCCTTCCAAACCAATACCAAGCCTGTTGTCATCTGACTCATGGTGACCCCATGTGTTACAGAGGAGAACTGCATGCTGTATGGTTTTCTTCACTGTAATCTCTGCAGAAGCAGGTTGTCTGGCTTTTCTTCCATGGCACCGCTAGGTGGGTTTGTATTGCCAGCCTTGAGGTTGTTGTTAAGTGCTGTCAAGTCAGTTCTAACTCATAGCAACTTTGTATTGGGTTTCCGAGGAGCAGCTAGTGAGTTTCAACTACTGACCTTGCTGTTAGCGGTCCAGCACTTATCCTACAGCACCACACTAGGAGTCCTTGAGGTGGTTGTGAAGTGCTGTCAAGTAGGTTCCGACCCATAGCAACCCTGTATAAGGTTTTCGAGAAGCGACTGGTGAGCTTGAACCACCAACCTTATGGTTCCAACCAATTTTGCAGTCAGGCACATTAACCCACAGCGCCATACCAGTGCAAATGACTTGTACCACCAGGAACGTCCCCTTTCCAGAGGGCTGTTAATTCTTTGAGTGAGTAGCATACACTGGGGCCAATTCAATTTGTTCCCTGCCTCCTCTTTGAAGAGTTTTCTTTTTCTCCTATCTTGTGCTTTTACTTATTTGAGGGTTTCTATGATATTCCTCTGTGAGGTATTGCCATTCTCTCCAGACAGAGCTGAGGGCTGGCTTTTCTCTGGAGCCCCAAGGGTCAGCTGCTCTGCTTTCTGCTGGGTTAGAAGTGTTGACCAGACCCAATAGGGAAAAGACTGAAAAGGAGTAAGGGTGGAAATGGAGATCACCACATGCTTCCCAGAGCCCCCCTGTGCCCCTCAGGGTCTCTGTTCTGGGATAGAGAGAATCTTCTGAGTTAGTGCTTACTATTTGGGAAGATTTGCTGGAGTCCTGTAACAGTTCTCAGTGTGGAGACTCCCTGCTTAGCCTGCAAAGTGTTGTGGGAATGGGGTGCGGGGTGGGGCAGTGGGGGAGTGTGGCGGGGGGGGGGTACATTGTTGTAGAGATGCCTGAATTATCAGTAACTCTGCAGTTCAGAGGTGGACTTTGCTCTCAGCTTCACAGCCAGGAGAGGAAACTTAGATCTGTATTGATTTCTAGGACTCCCTTTTCTAGTGTGAACAATTTAACCATTTAGATCAGGGATGATGTTGCTGTTGTTAAGTGCCGTCAAGTCGAGTCAGCTCTGACTCATAGTGACCCTGTATAGGGTTTCTGGAGCAGCTGGTAAGTTTGAACCGCTGACCACACAGTTCAAACCAACCTTGTGGCCCAGTGCTTATTCTACAGCACCATGGGGAACTTTTTTTTTTTTTTGCCAAGGGCCATTTGGATACTTAAAACATCACTTAATATAATATACTATGAAAAAAAGCTCCTAGTTTTATTGAATTTCAAGTCCCGCCTGTGGTTGCCTTGGCAGGGCCAGATCAAATGATTTTGTGGGCTTATTCGGCCCATGGGCCGGATATTCCCCACCCCTGATTTAGATAAAATTATCCATTTACCTTGGTGTGGCGCTGTGGGCTAATGCGTCAGACTGCAAAGTCGTTTGAACTCCAAGGTCGGTGGTTCAAGCTCACCAGCTGCTCTTTGGAAACCCTATACAGGGTCGCTATGGGTCGGAATTCAGCTCGACGGCACTTAACAACAAATCCATTTATCTTCATCAGAAGCCAGTAGCCAACATCCTGCAGGGAGGTTTGGTCTTGTGCTCTAGGTTGAGGCCTTGAAACCCTGGAAGTTCCTGAGAGCAGCAAGTGACCTTGGTTGGGGATTTTCGGTTGCTGTTGACCACCTTGAGACATGAAAGGTCAGGAATCAAAGTTATGGGGCTATGAGATCCTTGCCCTGGGACTGGTTCAGTTCCACGGTGCACAGTCTGATACTATCGGGTATTCTTCACTGTCCTGAGCTTATAAATAAGCCCATTGCACAACCTGCAGCCCAGAATTCAAAGCCCTTAGCCCAGAAGCAGCTGGGCCTTGGAGGTGTTTGCTCATGACCTTTTCTCTCACCACACCCTGGGGCTCTTGGGAGGAGTTGAGGTCTGAGCTGTAGTGCCAGGATGCTGCCTCTGTTTGTGACGGCATCTTGCTGCCTTCCTGGGTCCCATCACATCCTCCTTGCTCAACCATTGAGTGCACAGCATGGAAGCTGCTCTCCTCTCTGGGACACAGTACATGGCTCAACACGATGGAGTTGTGTTTGGAGACTGAAACCGCAGCCCTCTTCTCAGACTCTTTGTAACCAAGCTGTATTGAAGAAAAAGGAAGCACTCCATGCCCCACAGGCTGGAGAAGATGGAAGGACAAGTGGTAGGCCGGGTTCTCAGGCTCTTCCGCAACCGGCTACCCCAACTTCAAGCAGGTCTGGACTGGAAAGCCCACTTCCTTTTTTTCCAGGGTGACCTTCGAGGGGCTTGTTTCTTCCTTGAAATGTTCCTTCTTCCTCTTGCTTTTATATTGCTACCTCCACATGGTCCCCCATGTGACCAGGCCAGGAAGCTTCCTCTGTTGGTTTTTAGAACCAGTCATGCCCTCTGTGGGGATTGATGTGGTCACAAGCCCACAACCCTGGGCCAGATGGTATTTATTTAGTATGTGTCTGTCTACTTAGGACATGCTGTGGTTCAGGCACTGGGCTAGGACCTGCGCCCCTGTAAGTTGGGCAGAGTTACGCAGCACATGTATCCTCACCAGTACATTTTCTTGGCTTGCAGTCACTGGCTTCTTTCCCCCTCTGGGTGTCCCATGGTTTCAAGTCTCCAGGGCAGGAGTGGAAACTGCCCAGTTGGCTCTGATCCTGTTCTGAGACCTGAGATGATGTTTGTGTGCCTCCGGGCTGGCAAGGGAGGTGCCTGACTTCTCACAGACTCCCCTCCAGGTATGGACCAATAAGATACTAAATGAGCCCTGGTGTTTGGGTTTTAGGATCTTCCCAGGACAATGCAGGGGAAGCGGTAAAGGAACCTGAAAGGGCCCAGGAGCACTCCCTAGCCAACTTTGCTGGAGGACAGCACTTCTTTGAGTACCTTCTTGTGGTGTCTCTCAAAAAAAAGCATTCTGGGGAAGATTACGAGCCTACAATCACCTATCAGTTTCCCAAGGTAAGGACTCCAGGGAAGAAGCAGATCTGTGTGGGAGGAGACAGGATTCAGGGATTTGAGTGGTTGAGATGGAGAGGGTGTCCTCTTCCTCTCCCCACTCTGCCAGTGCCAAATCTGGACCTACCCTGAGCTGCTGCTCTCCATTTCCTTCTTAGCCCAGCCCTGCCTTCTGTTATCACCCACAAAATCTAGGTGACTTCTTTGTGAGGAACTCGCCTAGGTACCCAACATAGCCTCAGCGAGTTAGTTCCCTAGCAAGGAAACTAACTTAGTTCATTAGCCCCTTCTGGGACCACCTAGTTCTTTCAAATTCCATCTTCAGTCATCCTTCTCTGGAGAGACGTTTACCTTCTGCCAGACCTCCATGAAAGGGTCCCCTTCCTGGGATGTGTAGAAAGGAGAGGGTGGGGCAGGCTCAGCACCCTGGCCACTGCCCAAGCACCAGGCTCCTGCTTGTCCCATCTGCAGTGGGTGAAGGGGCGTGGCCAGAGCATCCTTGTTAACCCTGGCAGCTCAGCAACTGAACTGGCTGCTTCTCTTCTTTCTCTCTGATGTGGTCTCTCTCTGACGTAGTCCTCTCTTAGGGCGCCAGGACATATTGAGGCCCTTTTGTATTTAGTGTGACCCTGACCTCATTCCTGACTGTGTTGATCTTTGGGATACTGAAGTTCATGTGGACCTGGCCAGCTGAGGGACTGCCTCAGCTTTGGGGACATTCTGGCCAGATCCAGAATAAAGTCTTGGTGCATAGCGGCAGGTGAAGTCACCCTTCCCCCAACCCTAAAGAAGTAGTTTGAGGCCCTCAAGCCTCCCCTCCCCTCCAACAACCACGTGACCTCTTTTTCTTTTTCTTTTTCTTATAGCGGGAGAACCTGCTCCGAGGTCAACAGGAGGAGGAGGAGCGGCTGCTCAGTGCCATCCCCTTGTTCTGCTTCCCAGATGGGAATGAGTGGGCACCTCTCACTGAATATCCCAGGTGACTGCTCAGCCTTGGGATAGTGTGGGATTGTGGGAGAATATGAGCCCTGTGGCCCCTCTGCACTCCTCTCCACTCTCACTTGGTGTGCGTACCCATTTCCTACCAGCTTCCCTCCTTGAGAAGGGCCTGGGGTGGATTCACTGATAACATGTTGCCTGGGGTCTCTCAAGGTTAAGGCTATCAGCCATTCATTTGGCCACTCATCTCTTTACAGAAGTAGGCCAGATGCTTTCACTTGTTGGAGGGAGATCATCTCTGCCTTATCTCCTAATACTGTTTGGTTCTGACTCCAGCAGACGCCAGACTCAGTTGAAGGCTTTGGCCCTTTAAGAAGGTCATACAGCAATGTTCCTTACAGCAGGGTCCTGGCATTTATTTGACTGCCTGAGTTAGAATTTGGGCCCAACCACTTGTGAGTTGAGTGATCTTGGGTGAGAAACATCCACTCAGAGCCCCAGTACCTTCATCTTTAAGGTAGGGACAATCATTTTCAGAATTAGATGAGATGACATGTTTAAAGCTTGCGCCCAATAGTACTAAAGATCATTTTTACTGTCCAGGTTCAGCTGCAGCTTTCTGTCCTCCTCCCCACCCCTCTGATGCTAGCCACCATTCTGCTATAGACTCCAGTGAGCAAATGCAAATCAAGCCTTATCTGCTCTTTCCCAGGGAGACATTCTCCTTCGTTCTGACCAATGTGGATGGGAGCAGGAAGATTGGATACTGCAGGCGCCTCTTGGTCTGTGCAGCTCAGAACTGCCCCCTCCTCTCTGCAAACTGCTCAACTCCACAGCTGGGCTTGCTCAAGCCTCAGCTGCAAAAGCCAAGGGTCCCTGGGAGTGGTGGTTAGAGAGACAGTCAGTCCCAGCACCTACTGCCATGTTAGTGCCCGCTCTCCATCCCCGCAAGGAGAAGGCACAGAACCTCTCCCCACCTCTTGGGGAATCTTTGTTAGCCATGCCTGGTCTTTACTCTCCACAGTTGTCAACAGTCCCCCTCACTGTGGAAGGCTGCAACCTGCATCTCCTTTTGTCTTCCCTATCCAGGCTGAGTAGCCCCTGAATCTCCCAGAACATAGGCTGGGATTTGGACAACTTGGTTGAATTCTTAGGTCTCAAGAGTATTCTCCAAGTCCATTTGGAGTCCACGGTGCTTTCCTCTTAGCCATTTTGTCATCTGAAACACACTTTCCCACACTCCTCTCTGAGTTGACCTCTGACCCCATCAAGGTCTTTTGATCTTGGTGGTTGATCACTCTGAGGCTCTCTGCTGCCTATGTCATGAGCAGTTCCTCTACATAGCCAGGCCTTTCATCGCCTGACCTGCCATCCACCCTAAATCCCCTGCACCCCGGTCTCTGGACTTGTGCCCCATCCGGGAAGCCACAGTACTGAAGGCACCTCTCTGCCTTCCCCAGCCCGCCGGCCGTGGCCCTCGCCTTCCCAAGGTGTACTGCATTCTCAGCTGCATCGGCTGCTTCGGCTTGTTCTCCAAGGTACGTTGGATGGGGCACCGCAGGGCCTGTGAGCCCTGTTCTGCTTCCGATTCATACTGGCTCTCTGCCTCTGGCTGTGTTCCCTGAGCCCTTCGAGATTGCTTCTTCCAGACAGCCAGGCTCAGCATTGAGGAAACCGAGGTAGAGAGAAATTTGGACTTGATTGATTTTAGGAAAAAGTGGGCACGACACCCAGGAGAGTGTCTCCCCTGTTGTTGTTGTTTGTTAAATGCTGTTGAGTCGGTTCTGACTCATAGTGATCCTGTTTAGGGTTTTCAAGGAGCAACTGGTGAGTTTAAACCACCAATCTTGGAGTTCAAACTGACCTTGCAGTCCAGTGCTTTATCCCACAGTAAGTACCACACCAGGACTCTGACTCTAGTAAAGTAAGAAAGGAATCCTGGTGTGGCTCTGTAGAATAAACACTGGATTGCTAGTCACAAGGTCAATAGTTCAAACCCACCAGCTGCACCATGGGAGAAAGATGAGGCTTTCTGCTCCCGCAAAGATTTATAGACTCAGTTACTATGAGTCGGAACCATCTTGATGGCAGGAAATTAGTGAGTAAAGAAGGAACTTTAAGCAGGACCTGAGGGTAAAAGAGAAATTGAGATCCCCAGGACTTCTGCTGGAGCTAATATGCATGTCAGTATGCCTGAGTCAGGATTAGAGAGGAACTCCTCCAAATGGATGGTACATGTTTTGATAGCCTCAAAAAGGCTTCTGTGCGTTCTGCCCCCTTGTTCATCTGTATAGTGCCCTAGGGAATGGAAACAGTCCCTGACCCTGGGCTTTTTCAGTGGGAGTTGGAGGACAGAGTGACACTAAGCAGCGTAGACTTCTAGGCCCCACTCCAGCCAGTACAAGTGAACATAGCCCCGGCAAGTGTGATGACTTACTAGGGGAAGGGAGGAATTTGGGGTATTGAGAAGCAGGTGAAAAGAAGGCAGGCAAAAAAATGCAGGTCCTATGAAAGAGATTCCCTGCTTTCAGCCAATATCCATTTTCGTGGCAGCAGCAACAGGCTGAAGTTTAGCAACAATTGTGAGATTGGCACAGGACTGGGCAGTGTTTTGTTCTGTGGTACATAGGGAGCTCTGGTAGCATAGTGGGTATGAATTGGGCTGCCAATCTCAAGGTCAGCAGTTTGAAACTACCAGTGAGCGGTTCCACGGGAGAAAGATGAGGCGTTCTGCTCCCGTTAAGATATATAGCCTTGGAAACCCTGTGCTGGGTCACTATGAGTTGGAACCGACTCCATGGTACTTAACAACAATAACATAGGGTCACTATGAGTTAGTCCAAACTTGATGGCACCTAATAACAACAACAACAATGGAAGAGATGGATAGCAGATTATTTAGCATGAGAACAGTTTCTGCCAGGGTGGGGAGCGGGGAGAATCAGTTGGTGGAGGGTGCTGGAGAATTGATGAAGATTGGCTGGGCCAATGCAGGAGCATCACCATGCTCAGGGACAGTTGGGATCCTCACCACCACCACCTTCCCCTACCCACCGAGTGCCTCCTCTGAGCCAGGCCTCCTGTGGTCCTTTCTCATGCAGATCCTGGATGAAGTGGAGAAGCGGCATCAGATCTCCATGGCGGTCATCTACCCATTCATGCAGGGCCTCCGAGAGGCGACCTTTCCTGCTCCTGGGAAGACTGTCACTCTCAAGAGCTTCATCCCCGACTCAGGCACTGAGGTGGGTTAGCAGAATGGGCGAGACCCTCTCTGGTTGGAGAGGGCAGACCTGTGGTACCGCTCTCCAATGTTCGTTCACTCACAGAGAAACGGAAGCAGGCAGGGATATGACTTGGTTAGGATTGTTGGCAGAGCTGAAAACCAAACCCACATTTTCTGATCCTCCCAACCTGATGCCCACAAGGACCTAGCTATTATTTAAGCCACCAAGATCTCCATTTTCATTAGCGCTATTATGGAAGTTGAGACCCTTAATGCCAGGAAAGACTTGTTCTTCAGACCTCAGCCTGCTGCATACTCTTTCTTCCACCCACCCTCATCCTCCTTTTGCTATCCTATCCCTTCTAGCCTCCATATCTGTTTCTCATCCATCACTCATCCTAGCCTGCTGACTTTCACCATTCCACATGAGAATGCTGCTGTTTTAAGATCACTTGGCCAGCTGAAACAATAAGGAATAAGTGGTAGAGCATCGTTCTAATAACTCTAGTTCTGTTTCCTGGTACAATAGAAAAGTTTGTATGCTCCTCTGAGCCTTGGCTTCCCCATATAAAAAGAAGAGGAAGAACTAGATTTTTTTCATCCACTTAAAAACATAAGTACTGAAAGATTATTTTGTACCATCCACTATACTATATATGCATATAAAGTGGAGAACAAAATGAACATGATCCTTGACCTAATTTAAAGTCCAGAGGAGGGGCCAAACACACAAATAAATATTTAACTACAAATTATGTCATTGTGATGAAAGAAAAAAATAACATGCTACATGAGAAAATAATGAGGAAATACACATCTCATAGGCAGCCAAGACCCCTTGAGACTTGAATGAGAATGAAGGGAGAAGAGAAATGCCATGGGAGGACCTAACCTGTGAAGGACTTGAGTCAGGAAAGAGCATGATGTGTCTCAGGGACAGAAAGAAGGCAATAGGATGAAGCATGGTGAGGGAGGTGGGGTGTGCTCAGTGGGACATGGAGGGGGACAGAGGGCCTTGCGGTCATGCTCAGGATTAAACTGACGTTATCCTTTCTTAGAGTACAGGGTTTTTGCATCAACAGGGTTTTGCAGAGGAGAGATAGTAGCAGACCCACTTCTATGGAAAAGAGTTTCCTAAGTTAACTCAGGCACCAACCTAGGTCACTAACCTATCCTGGTCAGATTCTGGGGTTTGCATGATTGTGCAATGTGGAGACACCCTCCCTCTCTGTTTTTCCCACAGTTCATCTCTCTGACACGACCGCTGGACTCCCACTTAGAACACGTGGATTTCAGTTCTCTGTTGAACTGTCTCAGTTTTGAGCAGATTCTGCAGATCTTTGCCTCTGCAGTGCTGGAGAGAAGAATCATCTTCCTGGCAGAAGGTCTCAGGTGGGCCCAGTCACTGAGCGGCTTCCCTGACCTGACTGGTACCTCTGGGCTCAAGAGAGCATGCTGGAGAGTTCTTAAAGGAGATGGGGCTGAGGGACTCTTGTGCTCATCCTCCTTCCAGTTCCTTGAGCTGCATTATAAACCTAGGGAGAGAAGCAGCTGCTATAACTCCCCTGCTCAGCCTCCAAACAATTGCTGCTTAGGTCTGAGGAAGGTTTCTGATTTAGCTCTGAGAAGGGCATGATGTTTTCCTGGTACAGCCCCAGCAGGAACCAGCTCGGGTGATGCAGATCTGATTCTGCCTTTGAGGCTGCAAGGAGGGCAAGACAGGATAGGAAGGCGTATAATGGTATGGAGGTTAAACCATCATCCTGATGACAAGCATATTTCATCCATCCATTTATTCACTCATGCAACAAACATTCATTGCATGCCAGCTGTTTGCCAGGTGCCAAACCTCAAGAAGATAAATACAAATAGGATGGGCCTTGGCCTTAAGGAAGTACAGAATTATGTAGTAATAGAAAGCATAGATCTTAAAATCAACAGAAGGCTCAAATTGTGTTCCTCCCCCTTTAATTGTGTAGTTCTTCTTGGGTTAGGCTCTCAAGTTCATGATGTCATGACCTCCTTATTGATAACATGGAAGTAGTGATTGCACTGCCTCCCTCATAAGACTGCGGTGAGGATTACATGAAAGCAGTTACCATGGAGCCCATAGCAACTCCTGCAACCCAGGTGTGTCAGAGTAGAATTGGGCTTCGTAAGGGTTTCCAGCAGAGGCCAGGTGTGGTGCTGTGGATTAATGTGCTGGATTGCAAAGTTTGTTTGAACCGTGAGGTTGGTGGTTCAAGCTCATCAGCTGCTCCTTGGAAGCCCTATGGGTGGAACTGATTTGATGCCACTTAACAGCAACAACAACAGAAGAGTTTGTAGTGACTGATTTTTTTGGGAAGTAGATTGCCAGGCTTTTCTTTCAAGGTACCTCTGGATGAATTCAAATCATTAATTTTTTTTTTTTTGGTTGGAGGTTAACTGTTTATACTACTCAGAGACTCTGAGGATTAAGTTTACTGCTGAGCACACAGTAGTCAGTGAAGTACTAGCTTCTTAATGGTACATTTCAAATAATAAGTTCACAGTCGAGTGGCTTCCTGTGTACAGTGGAGGCAGTAAGAACTTGGTTTCTGCCTCTGAGGTGCTTTGAATATGAAAAAGACATGGTGAGACGTGACAGAATGGAGAAGGAAAAAACAAAATCATAAAGCAGTGGGGCTTGGCTTTCTCTCCATATCTGTGGAAGGAGAGAGCTGAGACTATTGGGCTTACATTCCTGGTTCTTCCCTTGTCAGGGAAGAAGAAGAAAAAGAGGATGTTATGGACTTAAACAACGGAGGTCAGAGGACTGGGTGAATGTCAAGGGTTTCTGAGGAAAAGAAGCTTGGGCAGGGAGTGGGACCAGTGAGTTAAAGATTCTGAAAGACCCAGAATAGTCACCAAATAGGAACTGGACATAGGCTCATCTTTGAGGGAAATGGCATAATCTTTGGCTTTGGAAATAGCTCTTGCACTACAACTCCTGTTTAGAAATGAGAAGTTTCCCTGTGGCTGGAGCTGGGATCCTGGGCCTTCAGGGAATTAAAGATGACTTCAGTTGTTAGGTAGCTTGGGTAAGGGCAAAGCCTGGCAGGAATTACTTCCCAGGCACTAATATTTTTGGAGAGAACCCCTTACCCCCCGACTCCCTTCCCATAGGCTTTTACAGATCCCTGAAACCCAGGCAGGAAGGGAGCTTCCAGTCAGACTGGGCCTTGGCTAGACTCAGGGAGACTCAATCTGTCTAACTCAGGAAGTGCTAACTGGATACCAGGAATTGAAATAAGGTTTCCGCATCTGTGTTTTTATTGACCTTGGCTTGGGGGCAATTTGGCTGAAGAAATGAAGAACCATGAAAGCCAGTGGAGACTAGGGAAGATGGAGTGGCAGTAATGACCTGGGGAATACTTCATTGGAGCCACCTCTGTGGGACTTTCCATATAGGAATTGCTGGGCAGTGGTTCCTGGAATTTAGGAATTTCCCAAGCTAACTCAGGCACCAACCTGGCCACTCTGTCACCATGAGTTGGAATTCACCGATGGTAACTGGTACTGGTGGAGTGGCTAGAGGGAGCCATGTGAGGTGAAGGCTGGAGATAAGAGTGTATAGACAAACAGAGGTTTGCTGTGCTCCTTATACACACTTCCTTTATGCTGTGGTATAATGTTGCCTTTCATGTCTGTCTCCTTTACTACACTGTGAGTTCCTTAAAAGCAGGGACAGTGTCTTCTTCCTAGAAGCCACATCCTCAGCACAGTAGTGAGCACACAATTGAGCTTCAATTTGCTGAAATGAAGACATCCCTTCTCCCCTTCCCTTTAGTGTCTCTTTGGTTTGGAGCCAGTCGAGTTGAGGAGACTGGGAAGAGAATGGTCAAGTAGAGGCCTGTCCTTGGCTAGTGGAGCCTCAGCCTCTCCAACAAACCATCCCAAGCTCTGTGACTCACATGGATTGCAGATTTGCACAGTTAGCATATGTCACAGCTGTAGTACAGTGGGAGGCAGGCTCTGTAGAGGTGTGGGGTACAGCAGTGGCCCTCCTGAGCACTGGGGCCCCTCTGACTCTTGTTCCCTGTGTCTGTCCCCAGCACCCTGTCCCAGTGCATCCATGCTGCTGCTGCACTGCTCTACCCCTTCAGCTGGGCACACACCTACATCCCTGTTGTCCCCGAGAGTCTTCTGGCCACTGTCTGCTGCCCCACCCCCTTCATGGTTGGAGTGCAAATGCGGTTTCAGCAGGAGGTTATGGACAGCCCCATGGAAGAGGTATGATGCAGAAAGAAGAGTGAATGATTTGGATTTGTATTTCAGTTATGCTACTAAACAGCTATGTGATTCTGGACGAGTTCTTTCTCTAAGCCCGAGCCTCATTGCCTGTGAAATGGAATTAGCTGTCCAGCCCATAGTCTGAGGGAAGTAACTTCCATAACACTCCTAGCCTAGCGCCTGACTGACATATAGTTGGCGCTCATTAAGTGTTTACTCCCCACTCCTGAGTGATTTTCCTTTGGACTTAAGAAAGAGCACATACTTTATTGTGAAGTCATCAGACTGTCTTACATCCAGCTGGTCCACTGAGTCCATGGGGTGTCCCATCTCTCCTGTGAATGGCTCATCACAGCTGGTCTGTACAACACACACCCCACTGGAATTCCTCCAAGGAATTCCAAGGATGGATGAGACCAAATGGCTTCCACCTGCATACTATGAATCTTGGTTATGTCTAAATCTTTAAAACATGGATTTTTGTAGCAACAGCCATCTTGTTGATTAGTCCACCTGCTCAGAACTCAGTTTGCTAATGGAAACATGGGACAAAAATTCCCTCTGAGTCAGTTAGCTTCTTGTTTCTTAACTGTAGTCTGTGCCTCAGACATACAGGAGGGCTCATTTTATAACAATGGTCATCAATAGCATAAATCTATCTCCCCTGTTTGAAAAACAGCTCAAAACAAGTGCTCTGCTCTGAGCTGTGGGTGGGAAAGGGTCAGTAGGAACCTTCGAAGGATATTGTTGTTAAGTGCCTTCAAGTTGGTTCTGACTCATAGCGACCTCGTGTAGGGTTTCCGAGGAGCAGCTGGTGAGTTTGACCTGCTGACCTTGCGGTCCAAAGTTTATCCTACAGTGCCACACCAGGACTAACCATGTGGTGCTGTAGGATAAACCCTGAACTACTAACTACAAGGTTGGTGGTTTAGACCTACCAGCTGCTCCTTGGAAACCCTATACAGGGTCGTTATGAGTTGGAAGCTACTGGACAGCACTTAACACTAACATATCCTAAATCAGAGGAGCTACATGGGTGTGTCTATACTGGCTAAAAATCTGCAGACAGAAGGCCTACAAAGGAGACAGGAGGATCTAGAAGTAGATACTAAAATATTATGAAGGGTCTTCCCCAATTTACATAAGAGAAAATGGAGGGCCAGAGAACTGAACTGACTTAATGCAAGGCCACACAGGCAATGATGGAACCCTAGCAGATAAAGCCCCTCTTTAAAAAAGAGAGGAAGCAATTCCATTTCCTAGGGGTATTTCTGGGAAGCAAAGTAGACGGTTTCCCTTCCTTGTTCCCCTGGCCCTCCCACCTTCCTCAGAATTGCTGAGTACACACGCCCTTTGAACCAGCCTTAGTCCTGTGACTAAGTGGTACAGAGTAGTAGCCCTGTGTTTAGCAATACAACTTAAAAATGTCCCAACTCCAGGAGTTACGAAATTTCCTGATTCCGCAGCTCCAGCTCCTCCCCTGACAGTCAGATGGAAAGACACTTGAAGGCCATGGGTCCCTGGCTCCTGCTTCTAAGATGTCTGGCCCGTTTTATTCCTCACTAGCTGCTTTGTGACTGGGCAGGGGATGGAAACTGGGAGAGGGACAAAAGGTAAGGATGGATGTTAGGGAGAGTCTATAATTCCCTACATAAACTCTCAGGAGGGGATTACTCCACAGATGACTGCATATCCCAATATGGGAAAGCTCTGGGGAAACGATCTCACACAAACAATTCCTTACACACACTCTTTCCTCAAATATCCCAAATGAACAGCCTTCCCTCTGGGAAGGCTTCTGAGCCTATGTATACAAGTGGTTTCAGGCCTGGACTAGTTCAGTTTCTCTCCTGATGATGGATAATTACAATGTGTGTTCTGTCCTTTGGCATATTTTCCAGTCATTCTCTTTCCTTTTGAGGAGTTCTGGTAACACAGTGGTTACAAGTCAGGATATTAACCTTAAACTCAGCAGTTCAAAACTACCAGCTGTTCCACGGGAGAAAGATGAGGCTTTCTGCTCCTGTAAAGATTTACAGCCTTGGAAATCCTACACAGGGTCGCTGAGTTGGAACCCAGTCCATGGCACACTACCACCACCACTACCCTGGTGTGATCTTTCACTTAACTGTTGAGACCAAAGATCACAAACTAAAAAACCTAAAGGAGCCCAGTGTGCATTTAAGTGGCCAATGCAGCCTTTAGGAGGGGGGGTTTCGGTAAACTGGGAACCCCATGCCTTGCCTGAAGGTTACTACTCAGTTCCACCCGAATGCTGCCCTTGAGACGTGGACCAGTCAGTGTTGGTCCTCTTTTTCAGAAAAAGCCAGAAATCTAAATGTTACATGAAATCCCCCTTTAAATATTAGAAATTACTTTGATTACCTTAAAAATAAGATGTGATCAATGAAACAAATCAGCAAGTTGGGATCGGTTAGCGGGATGCCTATTTGTAACCATTGGTCTAGAATTAAGGCCACTCGAGCAGTGGAGTCCTGGTGTGATGCTGTAGGTTAATGAACTGAACTGCAAAGTTGGTTTGAACCACAAGGTCGGCGGATCACGCTCACCTGCTGCTCCTAGGAAACCCTATACAGAGTCACTATGGGTCGGAACTGACTCAATGGAACTTAACGTTGTGATGGAGGGGGTACTAGAACTCAGGTTCTTTGAATTCCAGCTGTGTGAGGGTATCACCTGCAGCCTTTAGACATGTAATATCTCCACATCCTTGCCTTCCCTCTTCCTATTGACCCTGGGCTGTTTCCTGCTGGAAGGGGCAGAGCTCTGAGGACTTTTTTTTTTTTTTTTCAAGTAGAGCTCCAGGCAATTGTACATAAAACTGATGTAAGCATTAAAGGTTCCTTCTGTGTCTGAGAGCTGACCAAAGGGCAGGGAGTTAAAGGCTGTGGAGAGAGGAAAACAGTTCCAACAGCAGTACATCTAGGCTTGAAACCGGTTCTACTATTGGTTCACTACATTTCTTTGGGTGTGTTTCCTTAACTGCAAAATTGTGAGACAGGTAGTACCTGAAAAATCAGTGTACTGTCTGTCTCACAAGACTGTTAGAGAATTAAATGAGATTAAATAATGCACTTGTTCTAAATGTGTGCACCATGTTCTAAATGTTTCTTGTGGAGACATCATGAGGCTATGATCAGTGTTTACTTAGGCAGGGACTGGTTATGGCTTTCCCATATTGGATTCGCCTTCTACCTTCACCTCTTTCCTAACACTTCTTTCCTAGTTTCTTAGTTTCAGGAAGGAAGCTGACCTTTCCAAAGAGGGGAGTGTGAGGGAGTGTCAGGAAGGAAATAGGAATGAAAAAGATGCTGGTTTTGTTGTTTGGGGCTGAAAGGAACAGTGACACACAGAAATGGAAGTGGTAAGTCCTTTGAAAGTCTATGAAGAAAGGGGGAGAGATACAGCTATTCTGTGTTGATTTCAGGTCCTGCTGGTCAATCTTTGTGAAGGATCCTTTTTATTGTCGGTAAGTGCCCACCACCAACTCAAGCACTCTAGCCTCATTCATGTTCCATTTATTTCAACAAATATTAAGACCTTTTACTGACTTAGAATCTGCACTAATAAGACTCCCTCACTCAAGATTCTCAAACAAGGACACAGATGCCTTCACTAAAAAGTGAATTTAGAATTAGGGGCATATACCAAGTACCAAACTACAGGGATCAAGAGGAGAGACTCATACTAGGGCTTAGAGACAATCCAAAGATCAAGAAACAGCTTCCGTTGTTTTTCTCCTGTGTGGCAGATTATTGGGGTGGAGGTGAGTGTAGGGGTCACGTCAACCCCCTTGGCTCCACACCTCTTCCTGTACTGACCTCTGAGCTGACTTTTCTAGGTTGGTGATGAAAAAGACATTTTACCACCCAAACTTCAAGATGACATCTTAGACTCTCTTGGTCAGGAGACTAAAGAGTTACAGAGTAAGTCCTAGACTCCTCTTATTTGGGTTTTATTCAGGGAGCTTAGGGGCATGCTTCTCAACCATTCCCTTCCAGAAGTAAAATCAGCTTCCATAACAGAGTTTTGGGCCAACCCCAGAGGCATAGATCCAAGGGGAAGTCAGAGTAGGAGATTCTATTCTTCCTTGGCAATGGTAGTCTCCCATTTCAGTCAGTGAGTAAATTATAAAGTCCATCCATTCATTTCCCCAAGAGCTTTCAGCCTACAACCGAAGCCCTAGCTGGAGGTGAGAGTTTGTGTAACTTTTTCTTTCTACTCCTCTCTGACATGGCTTCTATCTGTCCCCTACAGCTTCAGAACAAATCAATGAACACGTTTCAAGCCCTTTTGTGCAGTTCTTTGTCAAGACCGTGGGCCACTACACTTCCTATATCAAGCGGGAGGCAAATGGGCATGGCCACTTCCAAGAACGGTCCTTCTGTAAAGCTCTAACCTCCAAGGCCAACCGCCGGTTCGTGAAGAAGTTTGTGAAGACACAGCTCTTCTCCCTTTTCATCCAGGAAGCTGAGAAGAGCAAGCATCCCCCTGCAGGTACACAGTCTGAGCCCAGAGAGGGGTACCTCCTCCAGGTCACGTGAGGCTGTGTTGAAGAGGAGGGAAACGAGGAGCATTTCCTTCTAGAGACCCACAGAATAGCCGTAATTCTATCAGTAAGATTGAAACCCGAGAAATGCCTCATGGGCTGGCATTTTGTAGAAGGTGCTCTATCCCTTTCTTCTGTTTTAATCTGGAGCTAATCCCCATTAATTAATTATCCTTTGGTTGAGGGGGTTCTTTTTTGGACACAAATCGAATACCTCGGCACTGTGAGGGTTCCTGGCAGGGATGGAGTGTTTATGTGTGCATGATGAATTTCGACAGAGAGGGTATTTCTGTCCCTCTTGTCTGAGATCATCACAGTCTGCCAGATTAGTTAACTCTAAAACCTGTATCTGAATCCACAGGCTATTTCCAACAGAAAATACTTGAATATGAAGAACAGAAGAAACAGAAGAAATCAAGGGAAAAGACTGTGAAATAAATACTGTGGTGAACTGGAGTGACTAGACCTACAGGCCAGTTCTGGACTCGGCTCACTGCCAGCCTGGGGAGGGGAGGGGAGGGGGACAGTGAAGTTCTTTGTCCCAGCGTCCACAGCCTCCCTCCAGGTTGTGCTTCAAACTGGTGCCTGAGTTTGGGATCCTTGGAATCAACTTTCTCAGGACTTTGGAGGACTCTGGCCCGTGCTTATGGAGCTGGGTTCAAAGCTGTGCTTTTTGCAGGGGACAGAGCAACAGTAGCACAGATGCTGCCGAGGCTTGACTAGAAGTTGTTGCAGCTGGCCCCTCCCAGGAACCACTAGTACAAACCACTCGAGCCCAGAGAGCAGTTGTGGTCCCAAGACTCAGCTCTTCAACATGAGAAAGGTCTGTGGACATGTGAGAATGTGAATAAAGATAAAATTCTTGCTATTTGTGTTTGTATCTTTGGCTTCTACTATGGGAGGAGAACCAGGCAAACAAGACAATAGATATGAGAATCAACTGGATAAGGAGTGGAGGGCCTGGTCTTGGGAGCCCTGAATCCTGGGCCTGTGTTTCGAGTGGTGGGATTACAGGGCTGCAGAGTGCTTCTTATAATGTGGGGCAGAGGGTACTGGAGAGAGCAACAGCACTGGGGACAGGGCAAAAGAGCCTTGGTTCAAGACAGGCGTGTTCTCCAGGATCCTAGGAGGAAAGGCTGCTAGCTACAGGGAAGTGACTAGGAGACATCAAGAAGGTAGAAATTTGAGGTGAGAAGCCAGTGCAGTCTGTCCATCACTTCATTTGAATTAGTCTCTAACCTCCAGTTTTAGACATGCCTAGTTTGCTTCTTCTAGCTTAAGGTGACGGGACTTTTTTTTTTTTCCTTGAAGAAAAGAGACACCTAAGGGTCTAAGGGGTTTCAGTGGGCACCTACTCCATCCTTCTTCTTTGAGGGGGCTTCAAAATGGAAAAGATAATGGCGTTTTCCCACCACCCTTCTGAACCCTCTTTATTGACAGATTCTGTTTAAATACCACAGGAGATGGGAAACCTATTCCACCTTTTTAGTACGTGTATGGATGTGATTGTGGAAGGTGGTATGGTGGCTCAGTGGGTTAAGTATTGGGTTGTTGAAACGTCAGCGGTTCCAACTCCGCAGCCACTCTGAGGGAGAAAGATGAGGCCATCTGGCTCCATAAAGATTTAGTCTTGGGAACCCTGAAGAATAGTCCTACTCCGCTTATAAGGGTTGCTATGAGTCACCATTGGGTCAATGGCAGTGGGTTAGGTAACTGCTTCAGAGGTCCTTGAATTCTGTACAAAGAACACATGTGTTTTTTGGGAAGTGGAACAGATACGGTGTTGCCAAAGTGAAGTTAGAGCCAATGTAAACTGACTGGGCTTTAAAGAGCTTTTTGCAGGGGCAGGCTTTCCTCTATTGATCCATCACCCTAACTATGGGCATGTTGCTGTTAAAGTGCCCATCAAGTCAGTTCTGACTCATAGTGACTCTGTAGAGGGTTTCCAAGGAGCGGCTGGTGGACTTGAACCACCAATCTTGTGGTTAGCAGTTCAGAGCTTATTCTACAGCGACCTTGGAGATAGTGTAGATTTAGTTTCAGACCACAGCAATAAAATGAATATCACAAAGTGAGTCACATGGGTGATTCTGGCTTTTCAGTGCCTATAAAAGTTAAGTTTACATTATTCTAGACTATTAAGTATGTAATGCTATTGCTGTTATTAAGTGCTGTCGAGTCGGTTATGACTCAGAGTGACCCTGTATAGGGTTTCCTAGGAGCTGCTGGTGGATTTAAACTGTTGACCTTGTAGCTAGTTGTCTAGCACTTATCCTACAGCACCACAATAGGACTCTAGCATTATTAAAGTACGAAATATTATGACAATTACTAAAAATGTGATGCAGAAACACAAAGTGACCACATACTATGGGAAAAATGGTATCAACAGATTTAATCAACACAGGGTTGGCACAAACCTTCAATTTATAAAAAATGCAATTTTCTGTGAAATGCAAAAAATGAGCTATTATCTGTACATTGTTGTTTTTCATAGCTTCCAAGAAGTATTGCAATTTTTTTAGGTGGTTTTTGGGCAGTGGTTCCTAAACCTAACTGTACCTCGAAAGGCTTCAGAATCTGCCTAAAATCCTTGGAAGCTGTTGGAAATATATTTGGAGGGCCTATCCCAAATGTACTGGATCATGTCTAACACCCAAACCAAAACCCAATATGGTGCAGGAAAGAATACTGGATGACGATTCAGACGACTTGGATTCTAGAACCTGTTCTAAAAAGTAACCAATATGTGACCTGGTATGCCATTGAACCTCTTCAGGCCTCAATTTCCACTGTTGGTTATTAGCAACTCTAATACTGAAATAAGACAACAGATACAAGTGTGTCAACAAAGTAGACTTTACCGCCTTTCTTTTCATTGCTCTGCCCAAGTTTCAAAACTTGATCTGCATTAGCATTTCCATGTAGGCACTTCTCTACCCTAGATACTAGAGAAGTTGCTAACAAGGAATGAGAGTCCCCTTTCCTGTTATAGACAAAGAAAGAAACTAAAGGGGTCACTGCCACTGCCACTGCTAGTCCAGGTCCACATGAGTGACTAGAGTCATCCCAAGGGCAAGCAAGCTGAGTGCTGACTTCTAGACAAGGCAGTATGATGACTGTCTATCCACGGTTACAGAGGCAGGTATAAAGTTACGGTGGTCTTCATTGGAGCAACTCAACTAACTATACATAATGAAAACAGATTTGGTTTACAGTGACTAAGACACCTCCTTCCCACTTCACACTGTGTGGTAGAGATGCTGAGTTGTCAGAAAAGGAGAGCACCCAGTGAGCGCTAGTGAGGCCTATACGGTAACTGAAAGTTTGGGGGTGGTTTGAGATTCCTAAGTGACTGAAAATTGCAAGGGTGAAACTTGAACAAAAACTTACTAAGAAGGAAAAGAAACACAGCTCTTTTTTAAAGTTAAACGGTTTATACTGAACAGAAAGGTCACAGGATATATTATGAAAATGTAGCTGACTGAATTTCCTTATTTACTAAGGAACAGAAATTTTGCTAAAAAAAAAAAAATTAAAATTTAGTTTGTTTTTTCGCTGAATGAAATTGAGAAAAAGATGGCTTTCAGATCATATATTTATTTAAAAAAATAAAATGGATCAACAAAGTTACCACATTATTCTGCATGCTAACAGGATTTCCCAAGCCCATGAGAGAGATTATTTCTAAAGCAATTAAAAAATGACTTCCTGGCGATGTAAAGATAGGAAACCTTTGAATCCAAATTCAAAGTCTTTATCACTAGTTCCACCTCACAAACTAGTGGGATTTATCTGTACCACAAGCTGAGCTCACTAGTAAAAGAAAGCTTGAGAAGATATTAAACAAGATGTCAATAAACGATGATGATTTGTTAAAATTAAAAAGTTACCATCTTCTGGCCTGCAAATATTCTACAAATAGAAATCTCCATCACCAGGGATCTGCTCCCCATGACAATTTTATTTTGAACCCGGGATGATTACAAACACATGGCAACTTTTTTCCTGCATGCTTTCTTGAGTCAAACCCTGTATGACCACATGTACAATTTATAAGACAGGACTCGAAATTCCCATTCTCACACAGGATAGTTAAGGAGTGTTACCAATAACATAGAATGAAAGTTATACAACATTGATTATTATAAATTATATTTGTTCTTTTCCATTCCATTCTCCTTAATATGTTCCAATTCTTTCCTTTGGAAAACATGAGTTTCCTACATAATACCAATCACATCGTTAATGATGATTAGAATAAGCTGTAGAGCCCTTGATTCTGAAGACGTGTATGTGAAGGTGAGATGCAATTTGATTGCAGACACTGACACAATAGCGTATCAAATCAAAGAATGAGAAGACCTGGAAAAAAAGAGAAGATTAGATTCTCAGGACTTGTTTAGGCTCTCCCTAAGCTTGCTGAAAGCAAAGATTGGCCTCTAACTTTCTTTTCTTCTCCCCAGATTTACTTTCAATCTCATACGATGTAATAGCTCAACTTTCTTACAGATTTTTTTCTTAATACCAAGGGTCAACAAATGTTTAGAAAAACAGATAGAAAGTATTACAACAGCTCAACTCTGCCACTGTGTCATGGATAGTACATACGTGAAAGGGTATAGCTGTGTTTCAATTTTAAAAATTTCACAAAAATAGGTTGCTGGCCCACAGGGTATAGTTTGCCATTTTCTGCTTCACAGAATCAAAAATAAGGAATTTAAGATCCTTCATGGAGGCAGGACGGACATTCCAAATCTTTAAATTCTCTATCTCAGGACTGACTCACTAAAACAAGAAAACAAGTAGCCTACAGATCATGAAAATAGACGTAATACTTACTAGAGCAATCCACAGTACAATATATTCATCAATAAAGCTGTTAAAATACTGGTCCAGGAACAAAAGTGCAGGACCTATGAATGCTGTGTCATGCAAATGCATTTCACTTTTCGTCATATGTGCAACCTAAGAATAAAACAGAATCAATCTATGAAGTATGGGGAGATGCACAAGAATGCCCATACTTGTAGACAGAACCCATCTGACCTAGGTTCAATGACTGGATGATCAGAACTTGAGGAAGATTTAAAAAAAAAAAAAATTTTTTTTAATAAAGAAAACAAGTGTAAATCACTACAATTTGATGATGAACTTGATCTATACTTATACCAACCAAGAAGGAAGGAATCATCACAGCAAGGATCATTCCTATCCCCTCTGTATACAGGGTTGATAGGGATGGGTAATTTAGACACTGGCTACCTAAAATAGGGTGGGAGGTCGGGGGGACAGAGCTATAAAGGCACAGAGTGACTGGCTTACAAGTTTTAAAGAGGGAGTTTAGTTTCCAAGTGTACGGGGGAAGGTAGAATCCCCACTGAGTGGTTTTCATTCTGTCTAGATGGATGTGAAAGGAGATGGGGATAAGACTCTTATGATTCAATAGTGAGTAATTATTATCATGACTGATTGTGATTATCACAACTGTAAAGGTAAAGTTTTTGTAGCAAAAAGGGGGAGTGGTTGATCTTGCAGTCCAGGAGCGGAGGAACCTGGAACCACCAAGGGAGAAGAGTGGGAGTGGAGTATGGGACCCTATTCAGAGAAATGGCAATGCCAGAGATGAAGACAGAGATGATGACGTGGAGCGATGGAGTGGCTGGGGACTCTAGACTTTTGAACGGAGTGGGGCTGTGTCTTGGTGACCGAGGGGCAGGTTTGCAAGGTATGTCCTTTGGTTGTTTGAATGACTGTATATTCCTGAGTGTTTTGGTGTACATCAAAATAAATAAAAAACACAGAGGGAATAGAAGCAAATACTGTTGAATGATGATGCATGGAGGGAATTATAATCATTGTAATGAAATGAAATATGATACGATGAGTGTAAAACTGATGTTCTCCCATGCAAACTATCACTCAATTCACAATAAAAACTTTAAAGAAAATTAAAATCTTATTAAAAGAATTATTTGTTTCTCAATCTAAGTTTAATTTGTTTCTAATCCTAATAAGCCACAAGTACACAACATAATAGTATGTGTATAATAAATATGAGTTAAAAAAACCCCACAGAATCAATGAGGTAGACTTTTCATACTAGTGCAATTGTAAGTTACATAGTAGATTAGTATTATGCTCAAATGCCAAGTTTTAAAAAATAGTTAGCAATATATAGATTTTCAAAACTAAAAAAATAAAATAAAATAAAAAATGCCCAAAACAAATGAAGTATATGTGTGAGCTATGCCCCACATAAAAGGGCATATACCATGTAACTCATTACCAGGAGTCTTAATTTGATTTCTAGAGTCAATTCTAATTTATAGTGACCCTGTAGGACAGAGTAGAACTGATCCTTCGAGTTTCTGAGATTGTAAATCTTTACGGAAACAGACAGCCTCATCTGTTTCCCTTGGAGCAGCTGGATGGTTTGAACCACAGACCTTGTGGTCAGCAGCTCAACACTTAACACACTATATCACCAGGATTCTTTAAACTACGGATGTTGTTGTTGTTGTTAAGTGCTGTCGAGTCAGTTATGATTCATAGTGAACCTGTATAGGGTTTCCGAGGAGTGGTTAGTGAGTCTGAACCAGCGATCTTGCAGTTCAACCCAACCATAAGGATAAATGCTTATCCAATGGCACCACAATACCGGCACTCAAGGAACTTCTGGTAACCTCAAGTTGTGGCTTAGCAAAAGAACAGAAACAGTTCCCACTTTGCTGTGAAGAGCTTTTGATTGTAGAAGAGCAATCTCTAGGGTTGCTTAGGATGCTACAGAATAAAACTATGACCATAACACCAAAATCAGATGACAGTTAAAGACAAAATAAAATTGGATGCTTACCACAAGCTTATTAGTGATTTTAGCAGAAACAAAACCAAATGTCAGTATATAAAGACAGGGATGCTTTTCAAAAAGCTGAACTGCTGATTTCTTGTAGATCATTGCAGCTAATGTAATCACTGATCCAATATGGAGAAAAGGAGAAAGGACACTTGTTCCCTGTGTAGTGAAAAGAGGAAAAGAATGAATACCTCCACTGAGCAGGTACTACATGATCTGTTATAAAACAGCCTAACTCAAACTGTGAAGAACTGCATGGGGCCTAGCAGGCAGCAGTTTCTATAAATGAACACCAGAACAGCTTGTGAAACATAGCAGCACAGGCTAGTTTTCACTTACGAGACCCAGCTTATTTATAAAGCAGATCATACTTTTTCTATAGATGACTCTAGTAGTGTGTATTTGTTTATATGCACAAACATATGCATACATATCCACTTCTCACTTACTGACATGGTTAGGTTACAAAAGGCCAGTAGTTACACAAAAATTGGTATATGCAACAATGGGAGATGACCATATCAGATCATAAAATGGAGTTATATACATCACTATATAACTTCCAAATTACATCATTACACAACTACCAAATTGTATCATTATGCTGTTGTTGTACACCGTTGAGTCAATTCTGACTCATATCAACCCTGTATAGGGTTTCTGAAGAGTGGCTGGTGAGGTTTGAACTGCAAATCTATGGTCCAGTGCATCCTCCTGTGGCACCACACCAGGACTCCTATATCATTATGTTTAACTGCCAAATTATATCACTACACAATTTCCAAACCACTGAGAACCATGGTCATTCAAATTGACACATAACCTTAGCCATCACTCTTGCCTTGCACCTTGGCATTTGTCACTGAAGATGTACGTCATTAATGTGAAAAATAATCATACATTTTTTTTACTACAGTCTTAAAGGTGAAATGTTAGGTAACAAGATAGTCAATAAGTGAGGGATCGTGTATAAACATATAAATGTATGCATGAACAAGTAAAACTGACTTTTGGACAACACTTCCATTTTGTTTTAAAGCAGAAATTCTATATTAACAAATAATTTTATATATTTCAAATGAAAGAAAACAAAAACTCGGAGACAATCATGAGATCTTATCTAAAGACTTACTGCTATTGTTGATCCATTTTTGCCAACCCCACCTGTGAAGATTACACGGAAGTAATTTGTGCAGGAAAACACGGTCCCTGCTACAGTACAAAGGGCAGGGAGAATCTTCACCTGGATATTCAGCACTGGAATCTTCAACAGCAGAGAGAGAGAATGATTTCAATAGATTCAAACCAAACAAGCAAATGAACAAACAGTACTCTTGATATCTGATTCACTTTCCCAAACACTTGCATGGGTCCATTCCTTCCCTCTAGGTTAAGTAAATACTTAGACCATTTCCCTCTCCTTTCCCATATAGGTACATAACAAGTCTTAAGAGAGGGGGCTAAACAGAAATTCATCTTGTTTCTCCCAACACCAACCTTTACAATTTAACTGACCCAACTGTATTAATTAGTGTCAATAAGCTAAGTAAGGTTCACTTAATGCATATCCCAGAGGTCTGGCAACAGTAAACCAAGCTGTCATCTGGCCTTCTTGTGAAAGGAATGTACCCTGCCTTTTGCTGTGTGCATTAAAAAATTAATAATTCTATCTCTAAATCTGTATAATTACTGTGAGAAAATGTGGGTTGCAAAATAATAGAAATATTTACAACTAAATTAGAAAATCTGCAAACTAGAGAATAGAAAAATTCTACTCAGAAGAATTCCCAGTTCCAAACTGTTAGGGCAAAAGCAGAGGGCAACTGAGAAGGCAACTCTTCTGCAGGTGAGTCAAGTACATCCAGACAAGCACAACTCTACAACTGAGCATCTGAAGTGTTAATATTGAAGTTTTCAGAAGTAAATCATATACAGTATACTGAAAATATGGATTGATTACTTAATGTAAGGCAGGCTGAATGAGTCAAGATCATGTCTTTATTCTTGAAAGCTCAAGATTCATCATATAAAAGAAAATACACTTGTATTCAATTTTTTAAATTAAGATTTTCTTCCTTTTAGCCTTTCTGAAGTTTCAAATTTTGTCCAATATGGATGGATAAGAAGCAACAGTAAAATACATGACATATTGTAGTAATAAACAAATACTATATGAACAAGAGAGCAAAAGCCCACAATGTAGGCAAAGAATTCTTAAAATAAAACATTTTAATTAGGGTTGTTTATACTTTTTATGACTGTAATGTTCCTGCACTTTAAAAATCAAATAGGAAACATGACACTTTCTTTTTTCCCGTCAACGTATAAAATTCCAGTTTTAGTGGGGTTCTGGCAAATCTTAATGTTTAGATAATCCATTTCTTTAAAACTCTAATGAATTCGGTTTGTTTACACAATTCTATTATGAACTTTTATGAAACTGTAGCTCTTCAAAAAAGAAAAAAACAAAAAAACCCAGAAATTGTTCAAGTTTCATATGTAGCATAGTATTTAATTTTCTAAAATGAAATTGGTCAACTTAAAAATCAAGTCCAGCATCCTCTGTCTCTAATGATCTCCAATGCTGATATTCCAAATTCGAAATTTGTTTTCAACAGAGGAGAAAATCAATACCATGGTTGCTTTGACTGACAAGATTTTTTCCTGCTCTAGTTCAAGAAACCTGGAACATTATAATCTAAATCGGATGCACCTGGTTGAAATTCAATATACTGTCCAGTTTCCTGGTCTTCTAAACTCCCTTTTTTTTCTTCATAGACAAAGGACCTCTCTGGTGAAGGGGGAAATCATATACTCCTTCAATTTCCAAAAGACACATTAATCCAGTATGGGGTAAATAAGCCTGCATTAGAATAGGGTAATAGCAATTTGTGACACGCTGAACAAAAGGTGCGGCACAATCACATTTACAATTTAGAGAAGTTGCTTTAGGATCATGGAAACTGTTGCCTTTTGAAAGAAAGAAAAGAGAACACTAAAAAAAGCCACGACTTGAAACACAAAGCAAGTAGGCAACTACAGACTACCGAGTAAAGTATTGTAAACTTTCTCAGGCTCTCATTCGTTCTGTTATATACACCACCACCAAAACTCTCAAGTGTAGGCTTTTGTTTGATTGACTTTGGTATTCTCTGTAGAGCCCTAGATTTGGTTGTTGTTGTTGGCTGTGTGCTGTGGAGTTGGCCCTGACTCACAACGACCCTGTATAGGGTTTTAGAAGCTGTAAATCTTTATAGGAGCAGAAAGTCTCATCTTTGTCCTATGAAACAACTGGTAGTTTCGAACTGCTGACCTTCTGGTTAGCAGCCCGACTCGTAACCACTAGGCTACCACAGCTCCTTCTAGATATGGTTAGGTGCTCAATATCCATTTGGTGAAGGAAGATTAAGATCTTTTCCCTTTCTCTTACTGTCCTGGAGAGTATCTCGCCTCTGCATGACAGTGAAAAAGGAAGTAAGCTACCAGAAAATAGAAAGCAAAATGAAAGGACAGCTATCACCAGAGTCACCAGGTTATCCCCTAAAAATTGGTGCCAACTAAAGCCACAAATAAAGAGCACTAAAAGTGTTGCCATTTTCATCTCACACTCAAAATCAAGGCAGGTGGGTACTACTGCCTTTTTCCATTCTTGCTCTTTTTGCCATTATTCTGTGGACTCATCCACAGTGCCTAAAGGGCATCCACTCTATAGAAAAAACCAGAGAGCCATGCTAACAACCCCTTTACCTCAGGCCTACCCAGGGTTTCTGTATTCCTCAAGACCTGAGGAGATTAAGAAAGAGCTCACTTAGGTCATGCAGTCTGTCCAAGAAGCCAGAGGAAAACCTTTTGAATTCATGCCATGAAATCATGTATCCAAGTATTTCTAGTATAATTTAATTAATTTTTAAAACGGTTGTTGTTGTTGGTGGTGTGCCATGGAGCTGGTTCCAACTCATAGCAACCTTGTACAGGCTTTGAAATTTTAAGCAGAAATTATTGTTGGTTGTTAGGTGCCATCAAATCGGTACTGAATGACAGTAGCGCTATGCACAACAGAACAAAAACACTGTCTGGTCCTGTGCCAAACTCTCGATCTTTGCTACGTTTGAGCCCATTGCTGCCGCCACTGTGCCAATCCATCTCCTTGGGTGGGGGGGGGGGGTCTTCCTCTTTTTCTCTGACCTTTCACTTTACCAAACATGATATCCTTCTCTAGGGATAGGTTCCTCCTGACAATATGCCCAAAGTATGAAACACTAAGTCTGGCATCCTGGCTTCCAGGGAGCATGCTAGCTATACTTCTTCCAACACAGATCTGTTTTTTCTTTTGGCAGTCCATGGTACTTTAATATTCTTCTCCAACACTATAACTCAAATGCATCCATTCTTCTATGGTCTTCCTTATTCATTGTCCAACTTTCACATGCATATCAGGTTATTGAAAATACCATGACTTGGGTCAGGCACACCCTAGTCCTCAAACTGTTATCTTTGCTCTTCAACACTTTAAAGATGTCGTGTGCAGCAGATTTTCCTATTGCAATACGTTGTTTGATCTCTTGACTGCTGCTTCCATGAGTGTTGATGGTTAATCTGAGCAAAAAGGAGTCTTTGACAATTTCAATCTTTTCTCCACTTATCTGAATGTTTTTTACTCCAGTGGGAAGGATTTTTGTTTTCTTTACATTGAGGTGCAACCCTTTTGAAGGCTGGGTCTTTGACCTTCATTGGTATTTTAAGTCCTCTTTGCTTCTGGCAAACAAGTTTGTATCATCTGAATATCACAGGTTGTTAATGAGTCTTCCTCCAATCCTGATGCCACGTTTCTCTTCATATAATCCATCTTCTTGGATCAGGTGCTCAGCATACAGACTGAATAAGTATGGTAAAAGAATACAACCTTTTCCTAATTTTAAACCAAATATTCAGTGTTCCATTGTTCTGTTAGAACAACTGCCTCTTGGTCTATGTACAGGTTCCTCGTGAGCCCAATTAAGTGCTCCAGAATACTCATTCTCCACATAGTGTCATGATTCACATAATTGAAAGCTTTTGTGTAGTCAATAAAGTAAAGCACAGGTAAACATCTTTCTAGGAATCCTGGTGTGGTGCTGTGGGATCAAGCACTGGGCCAAAAGGGCAGTATGAACCACAAGGTCGGTGGTTCAGACTCACAAGCTGCTCCTTGGAAACCCTGTACAGGGTCGCTTGGAACCCACTCAACAGCACTTAACAACAACAAACTTCTATTTGATATTCTCTATTTTCAGCTGAGATCCATCTGATGTTAGCAATCATATCCTTCATTCCATGTCCTCTTCTCAATCCGGCTTGAATCTCTGACAGTTTTCTGTCAATGTAGTGTTGTAGCTGTTTTTAAATTATATTTAGCAAAAATTTACTTGCATGAGATATTAATGATATTTTCTGATGTACTCCGCATTCCGTTGGGTCATCTCTCTTTGGAGTGGGCACAAATACGTATGTTTTCCAGTCAGTTGGTCAGGTAGCTGTCTTCCAAATTTCTTGGCATAGATGAGTGAGTGCCTCCAGTGCTGCATCAGTTTCTTGAGATATTTCAATTTTTATTCCATCAGTCCCTGGAACTGTTTTATCAGTGCCTTCAATGCACCATGGACTTCTTCATTCAATTTCATTGGCTCTTGGTCATAGGATACCTCTTGAAATGGCTGAATATCCACTTCCTTTCAGTGACTCTATACTCCTTACATCTTCGTTTGATGATTTCTGTATCATTCGCTATTTTGTCCATAGAGGCCTCCAATACTGTAAGGCTTGATTTTTTCTTCAGCTTCCTCAGCTTAAGAAATGCTGTTCTTCCCTTTTAGTTTAGTACCTCCAGTTCATTATTAATATTTGACTTTGACTTCTTGAGCTGCCCTTTGAAATTTTCTGTTCAGCTCTTTTACCGACTCATTTCTCCCATTTGTATTAGCATCTCTATGCTGGAGAGCAAGTTTCATAGTTTCTTTTGATATCCATTTTGGTGTTTCCCTTCTTTCTTGTCTTCTTAATGACCTTTTGCCCTCTTCCGGTATGATGTTCTTGATGTCATCCTACAACTCTTCTAATCTTCAGTCTTTAAGTGTCTAGTGCATTAAATCTGCTCTTCAGATGATGTCTAAATTGAGGTGGGATATATTCAAGGTCATATTTTGGCTCTCACAGATTTATTTTAATTTTCTTCAGCTTCAGCCTGAAATCACATATATACAGTGAGGGTCTGTTCCACAATCTGAC